CATCCGTCTGTGAAACAATTACTACTAGTCAGTGTTTAATAGTAACTATTAGGGTGTGGTAGAGTGCTCGCACTAAATGCATGAAATATAAATACTACAAAATAGGTGATAAATTATACAAATTTCTTTGTTTCCTATTGTATAATCAACACWATTTAGTAGTAATTAGTACTATTTGTTTCACGCTTTAAGTGCGAGCACTCTAGGCTACCAAAAGGCAAAATCAAAACCATGTTTGCCTAATTTGTTTGTTCCATGTCATAAGTTAAACTATTGGGAGCTAATAGGGGGTAGTAGTATTTAACAGTACAATTCCTATTAGCCGATAACAAACAAAACGAGCAGGGGCCTGGGACTGAAAATTTTAAAAGTGCTACAATCTTACAGAAATCTGTTGTTGATDGATAAAGCACATATAAATTAGCTAAACTTWAAAGTTTGAGCAAGTTTAAGTCATTAGAATTGGGAATATAATTTTTCAAAAATTTCGAAAATTACAAAGAATGTATGTTTGGCTGGACGCTTTGGCTGGACGCCATACATTTCTTTGTAATTTTGGCATGGTTTGAATGTCCGTAACTTTATTGCTATAAGTTCAAACATCATGAAACTTATTCAGTAAGCCTTTTATAAGGTGCTCTTTCACATGATGGGGTTATTCTCTCTGGAACCATTATTTAATTAGATTTGAMAGTTCGTACCCAGTCCCTTTTTCGTTTTGTTATCGGCCAATTTCACAGAYGGACGAAAATGACTCTAATAAAAGAAAACAATGGGTGTAGAGTCTACTTGCATCTATTACCCTGTCTAAGAACTATTTCACAGTCCAATGAAAATCACTCAATCATTGAGGTCCATCGGTCCATAGTAAAAAAGTTAAAAAAATTTTAATCAACACTTTTTTAATCATCTGGTTTGACTTCAACCAGTGGTGGAAAGGGACTTGATGGCTGATGTCTTCCTGTGTCAATTTCTTCCTCTGATGTACCTCCRTCATCTAACCCTCGATAGCTGCCATYAAATGGGCCATAATCTCTTTCATTCTAGAACAAAAAATAAATTCATAAAATTAACGGCAATGATTTTCCATTGTGTTTACCTTATGGATTATTAATGAATTTGATAATGATAATTAAATGTTGGCTCTTACTGATYCTGAAGTTGGTGCAAGAAGGGGTGCTTGTAGAGAACTATGTATATTCTCCATTTCCAGACTYGATGTTATAAGGCCTGAGAATGTCAGTACTAGTCCTATGACTTCTAAAGCTATCAGCATCGTATTATCATTATATTCCTTGAACCGTCTCACAAGCATCCAGTCCTCTATCCATGTAAACAGTGGCACTAAACATAACACTCTATTTGTTGCAGCAGGCCCTGAGAGAGTGATGTCAAATAATAATATTATATTGATATTACAAAAATCAAGGACAGATCAAGCTATTATGAGATGGGGGTAGGCTGCAAAGTGGGAATACAACTGCAACTGACAAGACAAGACAAGACTGACTGTCTCCTC